GGCCGCCTTCGACAGTAAGCAGTTGACGATCAGTTGGGCATGTGGGTGGCTTAATGTCGACTATTTGCTAAAAATGCGTCATCATGCACCAGGCGCGATATTACGGCGAACTTTTCAAGTGGGAGGAGGCTGCAACACACCGGGGAGATATTCTAGGCCCTCCCAGAGCTCGTCTGATGCTTGAAGCCGAGACATCCCTCTTAGCAACACTATGTAGAATCGTTGACCAGCCTCTAGAAAATACGGACGACTCCCAGCCCCCACGAGCCGAGAAGTGGAGGAATCTTACGGCCGAAGCAGCGTTCAACTTCACGATCGAGGTCGAGTTCTAGTCTCCATACACCAGCCCAGCCTTCTCGATACCCCTGCCTGCAATATTGAACACTCGGTGCCGAGGTGTCTGCTGACTTATTACGGCGGCGCCACCATATATAGCTTCCACCTCCTTTGACCGCCAACGTCTCAGTTACCCGCTAGCGTTCCGTTTTCCACTCATTCTTAGCAGCTCCCTCCCCCGCGAACCGTTAAAGACGCTCCGTATTTAAAGATAACACTAACAGGACCTGAAATAGCTGTCTAACAGTTGATTGATTTGTTATTTGCGGCGATATACGTTTGAGTGCGTAAACCACCGACGAAAAAATAATAATGAAACCTTGTGTTCTTGGCTCTTCTAAGCGGCGGAAGACAATGCGTTAAAGGCAGAGAAGGTAGATAGGTGTAGGCGAATTAAGGTGGGATAGGTATGGTAGGGTGTTAGATGTGGTCTGCCATATAGTAAGACACCTGAAGTGGCCATGAAAAATGGCTCAAATCTGCTACTCCTCTTACTCCGAACAAGGCCGTCTTCATCCAGCCCAACCCCTTCCCACTTCCCTTGAACGCCTTGGGTCCACCAGTCATTTTTGGACTTGTGCTGCTAAGACAAGCCTTTCGTGGCCGAGGATACCTAAATCGAACGAGGTCGCCCCTAGGGCCGTTAGATACAGTGAGGTTTGCCCTCTATCGCCCATTGTGGTAAAACTCCGCGGAGTAACGAAAGCTTCGGTGTGAGCTTAGCTAATAATAACCTTAGTCCTTAGTGTAATATAAATGCATACAACCTCAGCCTCTCAAGGTTGTATTTAGTGACCGTATAGTGGGTAGTGCGAACAAATCTTTATATTTCTAGCTTGTCGCAAGAGCAGTATCGTCTGGGATGATAATACCAATATTTGGTCGTCGTGAGGTATAAGAAGTCCTATCCCGGAGTATTTTGGCGTTGGCCGAAATCTTCGTAGAGTTTTCATATAAAAGATCTACAGTTTACTTATGTACGAAACATCTACTTGACATAAGCCTTGCTGACCACACTACGAGGATGACGTCAATTCCGTCGTACATGAATAGCGGTGAGAGCGAGTCTTACATTCCGGCGACACAGTCTATTATTCAATATAGATATGACTTGGAAGTCCTAGATATAAGCTGATTTCTAGAACCGACATATCGGATCCTTTCTTTGTCAAACCGTTGTTTAGTTCGGTAGTTTCATCGTCAACATAGTTATGATTGGCTAACTGTCGTGGCCTTTTGGAATAGCCTGTTGTGGAAAGGCCCTAAGATTACACTTGTGTAACAAGTTCTTGAAGGGATGTTCGATCTACCAACAACTTCCCGAACCAGGATGGCAGATAGCCATCATCCAAACAGGTTAAATTCGTTTTATAAAAAACCTTACGCTGAAACAAACACACGGGGTACTGGAATAGGACTACCGAAGGTTCCGAAATATATAATTAGGTAGAATCCGAAGCCCCAGCGCCGTCAAGGAGAAGGCGATGCACAAGTTAAATAAGATACAGCCCGGCTTCTTCTTCTGTCCCAACACTCATACTAAACGAATACTTCTGGTATAGATAACGTCGATTATATCCATGGAACAAAAGGACGTTTTCTACCGGCAGGACATGGCTTGCAGCCGATGCCGCGAGAGGAAGATTCGTTGTGGGCGTGAAAGACCGGCATGCGGAAACTGCAAAAGCGATAGCATCGAATGTGACTATAGCATTCCAGAGAAGCGAGTCAATCACATCAAGTTGCTGTGAGTTGATTTATCGCCATTCGTCGCACAATGTACTCCTGAACGCTGAATGAACAACTATTCATAGGTGCCATAACTTCGACCGTCTCGAGGATCGCCTGAATAACATAGAGGACAAACTTTCTTGGCTAACGACCGTAGTTAAGACTGGGCCCTCTCAACAAATCGTCACGGCCCGGGATGTCAGTGAACCAACCGACGAAAGCATCACTAGCGAGGATAGTGTCCAAGTAGACGCAATAGATCGTGACTTTACAGTCAATAAGGTAATCATTCGTGGCCAAGATGGCCAAGAGGATCAATATCACGGGCCCGGAACACTATTATCACTATGCCACGAAATAAAAGATAACTTTGTGTTAAAAGAGGATAACATGCAGTCTCCGAAGGCGCGTTCAGTTAGTAATCCAGATGGGGAAATGGAATGGACCAGCCATCAAAACATTAATTCAACTCGAAAAAATAGCCAAAGCATGTTCTCAATCCATGAGAAATGTACCGAGGTCCTCGTACAAATATGCAACCTCGCAAGCTTTGAGCCGCAATTAGAGGCAGCCGAGGACATCTCGATCAAATTACCCCCAAAACAACTCTTGCTCATGTCATTGCCACAATTCTTTTCGCAGCTAGATTATTCAACCGACTTGTTTGTAGAAAGGCACCTCTCGGCCCAAATACAACGAATATATTCTCGAGCACCAACGGTAGCCGACGACGCGTGGGCTACCGCTTTCAATATCATCATAATTCTAGTACTCGGCTCTGAAAGTTGGGCTCAAGGCAACGATCCGTTGATGCTGTCACAATTCGCGTTACCCCTATTTCGCGCTGTACAGTCGGCATTCCACCAGCCTAGACTCCTTATGACACCAAAGCTGATTAACGTACAAGCTTTAGCACTTTTAGTATGTTTATTTCTATTGAGGTAACGAACCCTACTGATGACTTTTTAGAGTGTAGTCGCAGAGAGATACTATCCCGCCGCCACCGGCACCGGAATTTTCTCCCAGGCTTGTCTTCTAGTGAGGCGTACTGGCCTTCACCGACCCGAAGCCACACCCACCGAGTTATCCGAAGACGAAGCTCAGGAACGGTACAAGACATTCATGTCGCTCCATCTTCGAGACAAAACACTGTGCTTAACATTGTCCTCCGTATGCTGGCTCCCCAGTTTTGACCAGAGCCCGAGTCCTCAAAGTATCTCCTCTTTGTTTACAGACCCGCACATTAGGGCCCGCCTCCATCTCGCCGAAATCCAAGAAGAACTTTATCGCTACTTATCATCCGAGCCGCGTCAATCTGACCGAACGAATAGTGAGATAGCCAGCATCTATCGAAAGTTAGATAGCTGGGCCCGCAATCATGATATATCCACAGTACCATTCGCCTCTGGCCATAAGTCTGAGCTCCTACTCACATTTCTTGGAACAAGAATCCTAGCATATAATGGCAGCCATGACGAAAGAGACAAGAGAATAATCGTTGATGACGCGAGAGCCAGTTGCATACTTCTTCTTGTCTCATACAAGAAATATGATGACAGTGTGTTGAGCACAATCCAGTCTCTCCACCTGATGTCGAAGACGGCGGCATCAAGTACCTCGGTAATCGAACACAGCGCAGACAAGTCAGCAAAACTCCCCGCCTCTATTGGCCGCTTGACGTCCCTTCTCAACGCCTTTCCTACCATAGCCTTCTTTCAGCTAGCAAAGCATATTTTATGGCCTGAAGAACCAGAGGTTTTGCCAGAGAATGGCCGCAGGGCACATACCGACCTCGAACTGCTACAAGACGTCCATAGCTGTGTTGTGGAAGTCAACAGCAAAACACAGTCTCAGAGCCGTGCAAGGCAAGTGGAGCGCATATACTCGCACATGATAGAGCTTATACAACTGATGAGACGCCGCTTTGATTCCACTTGCAGCTCCAATGGCCCAGACTCACGGTTACAGACACCTAATCCATCAAGTCTTGGCTTGTCGTCCATGGATCTTGCTGTTGCATCCACATTACCTAGTACGGATATTTCTTGGGATTTTCTCACGCCTCCGTTCGAAGACGCGATTCTCAGCTTGGATGGACAGTTAGAAGGCCAAGAGGATAAGAGGAAACGTCGTCGGACTTTAGAAATGGACTTTTCTATCGATGGCGATTCGTTGGTTCCCGTCCTACCGGAAGGCTGGCCCTCTATCATGGACTAAATTACCTAGCGACAGCCCCCGGGGCCGTTTATAATAAGAGTAAAGGAATGCATGTTATGTCGGCGTTGATGTAGTGGATAACAAATACTGAGTATATGACATTTAAGAGCTCCCCTGAATAAACAGTTGGATTCTAAAAAGAAAAATTAAAAATAAAAAAAATCTCTATGCTGCCTAAATGCTCTAACTCAGGACATCTGTTGCCATTGCGCTTTAGGTTGGCCTCAATGTGCGACAATGGTGCTTTAGTGGAGTCGAGGGGCCGATAGCACGACAAAGTACCGGTGGCCACAAGGTAGAACCGGTAAGCCAACAAGGTATTCCTGTGTACCCAGTCCGATTTGTCAATATGAACCCAACGGCGTGGAACGCAATAACTATTGAAACGGTTACCGTTATCCCGAAGTCCGGTGCAACTCCGCCCGGTCCGCTAGAGCTAAGTCGAAGCGGAAAAGTTTTCATATCCTTAACCCCTATATAAACAAATACCCCCTACCCACATATGCTGTCAACAGCCACACATAGGATCCCAGTCTGATGCTATAACAGCTTCTGGTTTGTATCTATATAGCGCTCGAAAAGCGGAGCATAACCACATACCTATTGATAACTAATCTAGATAGAAGCGGCATGAAGCTATCCATCTCTATTAGTGCCGTTCTTCGATTTACCAAAAAGTATCCACAATAGAATAGGACTGGAAAAACTGAACTAGCTGGTCCCAGTGAGGCTCGAACTCACGGCTTTCGCATTTCCCAATGCTATTATTGTATAGTATTAGTACGACACTCTAACCAACTGAGTTATGGGACCATGAAGGAACAACGTTTAATGAGGTATCTAGTATGCGGAGATCATGCGTTGGGCGTTGGGCATGCTCGGGATAGACCACAGGGGCCATATGTGAAGGATAAATATTGAAGATAATGTATGCAACTATTGTAGTAGTGAAGTGGAATATCCGGCTCCCAAAAAGGGGTTACCAAATATCCTTCCAAAACCTAATACACTTCTTACCCTACACGACTTATATGTGAGTCTCCGGGGGGAATTAGTTGATATTGCTTAATTCAAATGAATATTGAAAAGTTCCTAATCAAAATTTCCTATTTTCTCTCAAATTTCAGGATTTTCGCTAGTATTCTGTGTGTAGAAAAATAGAAACTTCTTGCTTACGTTTCCTCCTTTTCCATAAGGAGGATAGCTATAAATCATTTTCTTCACTTATTTCTAATTACAATTCTATAATTTCACTTCAGCAGACATTCTCTAATAGTGATGCTAGACGCCAAAGGCACAGGAGAGCAACTAGCACCATAGGGGTCGCGGTATCAACAAGATCTACTGGTCATAGAAGAACCTAAAAACTCGTAATGAGGTGGGAGGGATTGGTGATTAATAATATCGAGGTAATTCATCTACGATTCGTCGTTCTGGGGTTGGAATATCCGACAAGAAGCCTGAATAAGTTGCTATATGATTATTAAGTCTTCAACTACATATAGAAATGTGATGGACTTATTTCCTAAGTTTTTCACAGTGGGCATTCTTAGCAGTGATGTAAGCCATTCTACAATAATCAAGCAAACCAAGCTTGTGAAAGGGCAACTCCTCAAAAGTGTATTCTATTACGACGTTGTTCAAGTACTTCGTGGCAATTCCAGGTAATAAGACACCAAAGGCCGCTTGTTATATAAGTCACTGTTATAGTCAACAGCTGTAACAGCTACTAATAAGTAAATTAACGCCTGTCCTGCGATGTAATTGCTTGTTTGGTTTAAAATGAAGCTAAAAGAAATAATTGATATGTCTTTCTCCGGAATCTAGCAACATGCGAGCCCTGACTAGGCTTTGTGTTTTACGTAGAGGCAAAAATAAAAAAATGATAAAAATAATAAATAAATTCCTGAACACGACTATGCATATCTAGTATGAAACCATCATGGTGTTGAGTGGAAGACGATGACACGACGATAAATCCAATAAGCTCACTTTTAACCCTCCCTACCTTCATCCCTCCTTCACTCTTAAAGAAAAAAAAACAACGAAAAAAACATGAAATTCATCATTAAGCAAAGAATGCAACCGAAAATTGATTCGAATTAATTGATTGCTATGCAACTAATGTTGCTTCAACCTCTGTAGTTACCTATAATAATATGTAAGCTCCTGTTAGATTGCATGCATGCCAGCAAATGAACTGTGAGGCAAAATGGGGGTTATTCACTTCTCGCTGCAGTATGCTGTGCTCAACCAGAAATACGATCTGCACTACGGGAACCTGTACATTACACATCACCAGGCTCTTCCGGGAACAGGGAAATAATGCTCCAACATATTACGGGTACGTGGTATGCGTCTCACCGGTGCAGTGCGAAAGGCGCCAACCATCACGAGAAAGCTATAGCATAGCGGTCCGTGCTCATACCTACGAATACCCTGGCTCCTGACGTGTAGACAGGGGTTGGAGCTTATCGGGGGGCCGGTCAATCAATCAATCGCGCGGGCAGTACTGCGCGGGACTCTACCTGACACTCCACCGCAACGGGATTCACCAGGCCTGTGTTTGGGCCGTCTATTAATACACACAGATAGATGCGCTGCATTCATTTGAGGGCATCGTCAATTACTTAGGTTACTGTGCCCCATGGGCGGTAGATGAGGCGGCGCGTGTCGGGGCGGGAGGGACTATACAGTGGCTGGAGAACATCGAATCCTATGCTGAAAAGAATCAGTACCTGATTTCGGCGAGTCGATATGTGTGTGCTCCATGGGTTATGATCTCAAGTTCGTAGGGTGGTTGTTGGTGTGAAAGAGTAAACTTGGTGTAGCTCTTGGTGGTTTAGAAGAGCGATCTACCTACCTACCTAGTTAGGCATTTGTGAGGGGCTCTCTGCCCCATTGTGCTTATGCTATACACTACATTATACCGAAGCAGATAAGTCATCGAAGACGAGACTTCAAAACCTTTGGATCTACACTGACCTTGCCATGAAAAAAAGAACTCATCACACTCTCGACAAACTTCACCGTGCAGTGACAGATGTGACGGAACGGTTTTCGACATGTAGTTGGGTGGTGGCCAAGACAGAGCACCCTGGTCCCGACGGTCTGATTGGCCGAGCATCAGGAACAAATGTGGAAGCGCCGCTAGCTGGGCGCTTCGAGAGTCGCCAGCACCAATGGACGTCGGCCAAGATGAAAATAGAGCAGCTGTTATTACCTGGTTTCAGAGGTCCGGTAGATACCTGCAGACCCAATGGGGTCTGGGGATGCTGTCAGGGTCTGGACCGGCACCTACTAAGACGTACTCTGATATCAAGTCTACTGTTCCCGACATCTGCCTGCACAACTTATCGCACTTTTCACCAGATACTTCCTTCTCCCGGGTACTGGAGAATACTTCCGACTCTGCCGCTTGTTATCAACTCATAAGGTACTACCAGTGCTCTTGACCACTTGCATAAAGTTCATTCATTCTCTTCTTCTTGGGTTTATCCTTGGGCCTTATAAGAAATCGACATTGCTGCTGAGCGTCCTACTGAAGAGGACTGGAACGTCGGGATTCGTTAAACACTTTTATTACGCTAGTTCGTAACATTCGCCATGGCCACCAGCACTGCGGACTTTCCCTTGTCAACAGAAGATCCATACGCGGGGAGCAGCGGACCGGGCGGCGCCGTAGATGATGCGGCTGGCGCAGCGGGCGAGAGTCCCGGAGCTGTTCAATTATCCCACGGTGCTTTAATTGCAATCATCGTGGTGGTGGCGCTTGTCGTCGTCGGAGGCAGTGAGTACTATATACACTTCGGACTTTATGAAGCATTTCATACCTAACTTCGTATAGTTTCAACCGCCGTACTATTTTATCTAGCCAAGAAGAGGGAATGGAAGGTTCGAGAGAGGGTCAGGCGGTCAGCGAAGAAGGTGGTCACGGCATTGACGCCTCGTCGATCAGAGTTTCCAAAATCTGTCAAAGAGTCATCAGGGAGGTCGCTGCGGGGACGCGTTCGCCTAGATGACGTGCCCCCAACCCCTAGACTTCGACCCGAGGATATTGAGAAAGGGCTTGCGAAATCGAATGTGCGGCAAAGTCCTGAGGGGCGGGGACATAAATGGACGAGGAAGTAAACTGGTTATTGATATGTGAGAAAGAGTATGCCGACACGCTCGACGAACTTGATGAATGAGTATTGTAATTCTGTGCCTAACGCGTAGATCGCGAGAGACGCAGTCAGCTTTTATAGTCTTGTGTTAATATTTCTATATTCTTTAATTGGGGTGCCCGGGTATTAGAGTCGCCTTAAAACATTTCCACTTGCACTGCGCCTTGCCGCCGTCCGCTTCTCTTCTGACGTTGATGCTACAGCCTGGTCCGTTTTTTCTTTATTCTTCTTCGGCTCTGGTGCGAATGTGATTTCTTTATCGCCAACTACATCACTACCCCTAAATTTGCTAGGACGGCCTGGCTTTTGCGCCCTAGACCCGAACTCCGTATCTCGATCTCGTCTTCCACTCTCCTGGTTCGAAGAGCTAACACGCATAACAACGGAATCCCTTCTTGCATTCCGAGGTGTAGCCTCAGTGTCATCACTTTCGTCACTACTGCTGCTGTTGTCCTCATCACTCTCTTCGGAGTAGGAAGTTGCAGGAGTAATGAATTTACCTGATTGAGGGTCAACCTGTGTGCTTGGGTTGAGTGCCTTGAACTCTCGGCTGTTCTCGTCGATTTGGAATTCTTCATTCTCAAACATCCGGCTGAAACGATCGTCACCAAGAATACCTGCGTTTGGATCAATCGTAGCTCTCTTCTCCTGTCGTTTGAGCAATTTATCGACAAGTTTCTGGTTAACCTTGACCTTCTTGTTGCCGCGAATACGACTAGCTCTTTCTTTTTCAACTTTGTCCTTGACGCGCTTAGCACGCTCCTCTTCGAAAGCAAATGGATTAGCGATTAGTCGGGCTTGCTCGTATAGTTTCGAGGCGACAAAATAGCCGTGCATATAAGGTCGTAGCAAATTAGTCTTGCCGATGAGGTGATCCATGCTGAGCGATCTTAACTCAGGTAGCGTCAAGAATTTGTAATTTTCGTAATTGTCTGTCGTCACTTCGCTTGCCATTTCCTCTGTCAGAGAATCAAGATGTGCCGCCCAACGTGGCGCGCTTCCCAATTGAGGAATCAAAAAGGCATGCATCGCCTGACCTTCGTTGGCCGTGAGAATCATCCCAGTCCCCTTGACCCAGGTTGTAAAGTTGAGATCAACAATCGGCTCGATGCTAGTCCAAGTCTGCCCAGTGGACTCCTCGTTAATTTTGATGAGTTGTTTGTCGCTAGACATTAGCTTGCGCTCTGATGAAGAAGTTGTCATGTGTGTGAGATTTTTTATTGGGAATCCGCTGCCATGATCTTTCCTCCAGAGCGGCTTCGGGCTTCGCATGTCAAAAAGCTTAACGACACCGGTGGAACTTCCCGTGGCTATCGAAAGTCCCGAATCATTGAAGTCGAGAGCTGTAATCTCGCCCTCTTGACCGCCTAAAACCGCAATACGAGAACGAGAACGAGGATCCCAAAACTATTGATCCCCAAAAATCAGTCGATGTCTAGCGGCGGGCTTGGAAACGGACATTACCTCAACAGAACCAATGGACGTCCCGAATGCTAGGAGATTGTGTGTATTTTCCGCGATCGCAATCGAGTTCACGGCAGGAGCCCAAACTACACGAAATAAAGAGTTAGCAATTTCTACTAATGGTGAGAATGGCAGGAAATATGCCTAGAGTCTGCTTAGCGGGGAACTGGGAATTCCAAGTAC